ATCGTCCTTGATATTCTGACGGTATAAGGCTGTTAGGAAGGCACGATCTTCCATAGAACCGGGTACGTCTTTTACAATTATACGGGGCCTACGGCCTTTCGGTTTTTCTAAGCGCAACCCTACTGATTTAATGGCGTCCACAGATTCCAGTTTCTTAAGCTGCCGTTCGTTAGCTACACGTATCACGACGCCTGCCTTAGAGGTTTTTTTAACGCCTACAATTTGAAATCCCTCATCGCTCGGTTTAATAGCCTTCATGAGAGCTTGTTTTGTTGCTGACGAGGTCGCATAGTCCGCTAAGCGTTCCGTAGTGGGATAGGCAATAACACAAGGCCTAGGAACGCGCGCTTCAGTAGGTACCGGGCACGGAGCAGATTTAGGTGGTAATCGAAGCTTAAGTTTGTCCGCGTACGTTAAACTCGTTTTTTGAGTGGCGATACCCTCCATTTATCGCTCAAAATTCGCTAACTTCGTTTCGTTGCTAGAGGATTTTATTGCTAACAAAGATACGATACCGGTAATTCGTTGAGTAATATCCATAATCGGGGTTTTATTACCTACATTCATCCGAGATCCCTGATCATTAACTAATTCATTAATTTTTGCTAAATAATCAGTGGCCTGTGATACTAAGTCACAGTAGTTGTACTCCCCACAGTTATCACGACCGGTAGGAGACGAAACATTTCCACTTAAGTCCGAATTAATAACGCGCCTACGGCTACTGTCTTTCGGCGAGAAATCCGTAGGTGACATTTCGATAAATGTCCTTTTCCCGGTTGGTGTTAGAAATTCACTTGTACCGACATAGCCAAACAAAGACACACCAAACAACAATTTCAAAAGGAACAGGTTTAAAAATAAATAACACGCAGAGAAAAATCAATATAAACAAAGGATACCTCCTACCCACTTTTAGAAAGAAAATAAATTTACACACCAATAGTCGTAATAAAATAATTCAGCACTATATTACTGTTTAAAAACAATAAAAACTTACTGACTTTCTTTAAAACACTATACACAACCTTTAGCCGCCCGCAAGCCGGAAACTAGTCGCAGAAAAACAGAAAACAATATTTAAATTGTTAGCACATGAAGTCACACGTTAGTCGCACGGTGCCGCGAAGGGAAGTGGGGTTCACACATGGGTCGTCTACTTGTTGTAGATGGCCCGAGGTTGTCCCTGGTTTCCTTTCTAGGGTATACCTGGTTCCCCGACTATAAGTACCCGAGACGGCGTGCGGTTTTAGTCGGTTCGAGTCCGACATGCCACCGATAGGTGGTATCCGAGGGGATTTCCGCACGAAAAAAAAAAGGCATGAGTCAACAGCATGTTGAGGAGCACACTTATAGCAGCGGGGCTGGGACCTACAATTTTTAGCAATGTGGCCGAACCGACAATAATTCCTACATTGAATGGTGGGTAATGGTAAAGCGATACAGGAGATGTTTTAACACGAAAAAAATTCGAATCAAACAACTTCTCCACAATTTTTAGGGACAGAGATTTCAGATACTAGTTCCTCCAGGGTCCACTCAATAGGGATATATCTAATAACACCCATACGAAAAATTTGGAAGCGAGGAATATTTGCCACATAATTATTTTGTCTGACAATTGGGGAGTAAATGAAATTATTCACTGATATAGCAGAAATAAATTCCACACAGACTTTGTTACAACCCATATTTTTAATGGTCTCTTCTACAATGTCAGGTATTTTGTTTTTATATAAAAACTGGGCGAGTTTGAGTGCCTTAAGAGACATGCCGGATGATGTATCAGGTTCAAGCCTAGAAACATACACAGAATATGGATCCTTGTCTGATACCGAGTATTCAAGCCTGGAATCAGACTCAAATCTAGGTTCTGAGAAAATTGTCTCAATCGATGCAGCTGGAAAACGTATTTTCTTTCCATCGAAGTCAGCAGAAAAGACTGAGTTCAACTATCGCTTTACAGCTTTAGCTTTATCGGGAGGTAATACACAGCCCCCATCAGGGGGAGTCTTTAAAATGAGGCCCGTTGTTAACATTCACTAACCTTATTAAGGATTATTCCTGCAACAGAACCACACAAACACTACTTCAAAAGCTCAATTTGAAATGATTTGCCAAAATACGGAAAAAAATATAAAATCTCACTACTCTCACTTTAACACACTAGAGACAACCCTAAAAAAGTAGTCACAAATCACTACTTGACATCATAGAGGAATTTGTGTATTTATGAACCTCTGTCTGTATGAATTTATATATGTTGTATTGTAACGGTGCATTTCGCACCATTACAGTAATTTGAACCTTAGTCTCGTTTTTGTTTTGTTAGGTTGAATTTTTTGTCGTTTCTGCGTGTGCCGATGGTCGAGGGACGGACGAGAGTAATAATCGATGTTGTTCGCCCGCGATTAGTTAGTCGATTTAGTTTTTCTTGTCCTGGCAACATTTTTGTTTCCCCGCTCTATGGAGCGGCAGGCTTTTGCACTGGTATCACATTGGCTTCACTTTTGGACCGGCCGCCGAGTGAAATGAAGCGAAGCAAGTTTTGTCATTTAATTTTTTAGTAATCCGTATTTATTTGTTATGGACGAGGGCCTATTTCCTCTTTAAATGTTCGGCCAACCTGGTTAGGACTCGAGCTATTGGTTCGAGTGATTATTTTTGTTGAAAAGGTAAGTTTTGTTCGGCCACGTGCTTCACGCTTGGCTTGGCGGAATTTGTGGTTTTAACTCTTTGTTTAATTGGTTACAGGCAATGCTTATAATGCTTATAATGCCGCTGCTTGATTTGTGAAACATTTTGGGACCCTGGTAAGTGAAATATGATTTCTTGTCACAGTTATGATTCATCTTATGAGATAGGCTTTTAACCTATAATTTTTCCTTATTTGCAGATGAATCAGGGTTTTTAGTTTATATCTAAAGTCTTTACAATACCTAAATTGCTTTACTTTCTTATTGGAATGTCATTGCGTGGCATTCGGATTTTTGTCTCTCGCCGGAGTTTGACCCCAAGAAATTAGATTGCTGTGGAGCACCGGATTGGTAGAAAAAGCTGCTTAGCTGCACGCCATTGTCTGGAGCCGGGGAGTGCTAACCCGCCTCTTACACCACGTGGGAACCGGAGTGAGAAGTTTCGGAGTTGGTTTGATTTCATTTCATTCGGACTGATCCAAGGTCATCGGTATGTGTTTTGTTATATATTTTTCTTGGCGACGTGGCATTGAATACTGCAGGTCCCCAAGGGGTGTTATTTTTATTAGAGAGAAGGTCAATGCTATGTCTACCCTTAGAGTTTATTGTTTTGTCTATTAAGTTTTCATGTGACTCTTTAAAACTTATTTAACCTTATATTTTTCTTATTGGAAAGGATTGCATTAATGACAGTACTAATTTGTGTATAAGAATTACCTATTGTAATTAGAGACATAAGACACATTGTACTCTACAGACACTACGGGATAATAAACAGCCATTAGAACTTAACATCTTGTATTCATTAGCTGCCTCCCGCCTTGTTTTAAAAAGGTTCAAAGCTGGCTGAGATGTCCGAGGTATTTGTTGTGTTTGTGGTGGGTTCTGTGTTCTTTTAAGGTGGTATCTGGCGCCCGAGACTTTTATTTTGTTATTTTGTTTCTATTTGATGCCACCAATTTAGTTTTATATTTCTTTAAAACAAACCCAACTTATAAATCAATTTTTTTATTTTTTATTATTACAGTATGTATTTAAGTGTATTAGTTGTATGTATACTTATTATTTTTATTTATTGTAATAGTACATTGCAGGCTACCCTAATTTAAAATTGTCAATATCCGTATATAAGTAATAAAAGTTGTCTGTAAGAGATCGCCAAGAGTGATAAGACTGCCTATTGTTATACTGAAATCTATACTAATATTGTAAAGCTGAAGAGTTTGTTTGTTTGTTTGCTTGAACGCGCTAATCTCAGGAACTACTGGTCCGATTTGAAAAATTCTTTCAGTGTTAGATAGCCCATTTATCGAGGAAGGCTATATATCATCACGCTATGACCAATAGGAGTGGAGCACCAAAGAAGAATGTTTCAAAAACGGAGAAAATTTATTACTATTGAGAGACAGTCAGCTAGTGTGTACTATATAATACCTGTACAAAGAATACTGCAATGATGTACAATATAGAGATAAATAAAATATGTTAATATCCAAAGCAAGTGTGCCAATGTAGATAGCTGGTTTAATTCACAGGTGCCGAACTTTTTTCTAATGACTCTTTCAAAGGATCCATTGCAAATCAAGTGCATTGAACTGTTACCTAGCAGACACTTTAATCAGGTTCTAACAGATACTCAAGCAGAGAGAAGTATTCCAAAATAAATATTATAGCCATGAATGTAATCTATAGCTGTAGCAATTACTTGAAAATATTTCAATAAATTTCCCAAAGTTTTGCAATTCCATAGCAAAGTACATCTACTTTTAACATACAAGTTATGGTTAAAATAATAAACTTAGAAGTATGTTATGTCAAAATGAGTTTAAGAATTATGTTTTTCAGATATAAAATAATCTAAATTTAACTACATTGTAGAAGTAGGTACATTTTTGCAAATGTTAATGTTACTGATATTTATATGTGAAAACAAGTCATCCTTTTTGTAATATTAATACAAATATGATAATATAAATATGTTATTTAATTTCCTAGTGTAAAATCAAACAAGTTTATATCAAAAATCATATTAATGATGATATTAACTATGTATAATTGAATTTACCATATGTGCTATTATTGAAAACAGTTGCATATATTATAACTGGGACAATCTTTAGAAATACACTTTCACATTTTTTTTTCAAATCTGCTAAAAGATAATGAACTATGAGGGTTTTCAGTACAAAATACAGGTATTGCTTATGAAGTTACAGTTCATTGGCTTTACTAACAAATTTTTATGAACCATACAACAAATAAGATAGTGCATTAACTATATTAATACTAGCAGTTTGTACTTACAACATTTTGGACCATGCGTAACATATTTTCCTGAAACATAAATAATTCCCAATAATATCTCCTCTGCTAAAATATTTCTATTTTAGCTGCTACTTTAACTATGATTAGGTATTTTGCACTGACGCTGCACAAATTCAACTAAAGAAATTTAAATACAGCAAATAATCAAAAGTAATAAGCATCTGCTAACTTACTTTTCTATCGAGTTCACTAGTTCTCTGTACTTTGGCACTGCACAACATCTGTACAATTGATGCAAAAAGTAATTTGTAAACTGAATAGGTTTCAGAGATAGTGTGGAGCCACGCTAAAATCGTAACAGACTGTCGTGCGAATGTAGCTGGCGGCGGCCGACTCCCTCATTTTGATAACATTTACATACCTACTAGAATTAAAAATTCGTTATTCATTATTATTTGTCAAACATTCTGTAAACTTCAGTTGGCCCTGGCCCTGTTCAAAGAGAATGTCGTTTGCATTTGCATTACGTTTGGCCATAAATAATTCTGTCATAATGCCTAGAATTCTATTAAAATTTTCGTAATAGCAAGCAAGTGACAATTTATGTTTATGGCATACCTTAACCTACCACCGTGTCGTCGCCAAAATCGTCCATATCTATACTAATATTATAAAGCTGAAGAGTTTGTTTGTTTGTTTGTTTGTTTGTTTGTTTGAACGCGCTAATCTCAGGAACTACTGGTCCGATTTGAAAAATTCTTTCAGTGTTAGATAGCCCATTTATCGAGTAAGGCTATAGGCTATATATCATCACGCTAAGACCAATAGGAGCGGAGCACCAATGAAGAATGTTTCAAAAACGGAGAAAATTTATTACTTTTGAGAGACGCAGACGAAGTTGCGCGGGTCAGCTAGTTTAAAATAAGTCCTTTCGGAATAAGCGAACAATGTGTGCGAGTATGTTAAAATACATTCAGAAGGAGTTATAAAACCTAGCATGTTCAACTTCTTGGTAAACAAAAATACAACCAAAACTGACATTAACCAAGAACGTAACTGGGAGAATATATAGCAACTAAGCCCCTCCTACCACATAGATGCCACAATTAAACAAAAGAACAAACAAAAGTATAATAGAAAAAATCTTCCAACCCGGTTGGTCACCGTGGAAGAATACGACTAAAACCGTCCAATTAATACACCAACAGAGGAAAAAAATACCCTATATAAATATAAAATAACGATTGCAACTTACAACGTCCGGACTCTTTCATCATATGATTGCTTGCTTGAATTTGAAGGGCTATAAGAAATATAAAATACGATATCATTGGAATATCGGAAATGAGAAGACATGGAAACAAAATAGAAGAATACGAAAACTTTATAATGTGCTACATAGGACAAACTCCTTGTAAATATGGGGTCGGTTTTATAATAACTAAGTCCCTCTAAAACCACATAATAAGCTTCAATGGAATAACAGAGCGAGTCGCAACACTAAACATAAATATACAAGGTCATGGATATCCATCATACAAGCTTCCGCACCAACAGAAGCGGCAAGCGAATATGATATTGAATAATTCTACACTACAATCGAGAAAGTCTTGGACACAGCACACAAAACCACAATACTAATGGGAGACTTTAACGCCAAGGTTGGAACCCTCAAAGCTGATGAATATTTGGTTACTAAAAAGCACGGATACTTATTAGTAGTACTTATTTTTTCAAACTTTTTATTTCTGTTATTCAAAGTAATCACCCATGCAATCGACGCATCTTTGCCAACGCATTGGCAGTTTATTGATACAAACTCTTCAAAGGCATTTTGTACTGCCTCTCGGGAATTGAATTTTTTACCCACTAAAAAGTTGTCTAAATTTTGGAAAAAGTAATAGTCGGTAGGTGCAAGGTCTGGTGAGTATGGCGGATGAGGGAGAGCTTCCAACCCCAGCTCTTGCAGCTTGGAGACTGTCTGTTGCGCAGCATGGGGTCGCGCGTTGTCGTGAAGGAGCAGTGCTGGGGACGACCGATTGATCAAAGCTGGTTGCAGATGTGACCTCCAGACCTTGCACCTACCGACTATTACTTTTTCCAAAATTTAGGCAACTTTTAAGAGGGTAAAAAATTCAATTCCCGAGAGGCAGTACAAAATGCCTTTGAAGAGTTTGTTGCCTCCCGTCCAGCTGATTTTTACAAGAAGGGCATAAATGAACTGCCAATGCGTTGGCAAAGATGCGTCGATTGCATGGGTGATTACTTCGAATAACAGAAATAAAAAGTTTGAAAAAATAAGTACTTTCACTTATTGCATACAAAACGGCAATTTCATAGGTAAATACCTATTAGTAAACACATGCTTTAAAAAAAACAAAGTCGAAGATGGACCTGGCGATCCCCTAACGGAAAATACAAAAACGAAATCGATTTTATCTTGTCAAACCAACCAGGAATATTCCAAAACATCGACGTTGAACCTGAACTACCATTAGGACCATAAAATAGTTAGATCAACAATAACACTAATCAAACGAAGAATATCTAGAGCCAAATTTAGAAATAGCCAAATCCAACTTAAGAGCGCAGACGAAATGAGCAAATACAATGAAAGCCTAATATCACAGTTATCTGTAACTCCAACTATCTGCGAAAACACCTCGGTACAATATTGCTACGACAGGATAGAAAAGGCTATCACTTTTAGTTTAAAACAAGCCCGCCCAAAGAGAGAAGATAATAAACAACACAAAATACTATCGGCAAGTACAGTAAGGCTATTAAAGAGAAGAAAGGAATTACAGAGAACTATACGCAAATCACGAAGTGAGAAAAATGAACTAACCGCACTATATAAAGTAGTCAATAAAAATATAAAAGCAGATCACGCAAAATATAGACTAGACACAATAAAAGAACATCTACAAAGCACTAGAAGTACAAAGAAGGCCTATAAGAAACTCAGAACTAATACAACATGGATGGAAGGACTGAGTAAAAAAGGTACAGAACTGTACACTAGAGGCGATATCATTGCTATTATTGGAGACAGCGGATCGCCTTGTCTGACTCCCCTTTCTATTGGGAAGCTAGGGCCTAAGGATTCAAGCTTTATTTTACCCTTATTGTTTCTATATACGGATTTGATGATTTTTACATATATTTCCTCCGCTCCTTGTTTCTTTAGGCTTTCCCAGATACTTGTATGTCTTACCGTATCAAAGGCTTTCTGGTAGTCGATGAATGCTATGTAAAGTGTTCTTTTGTTTTCCTGATACTTTTCCATTATTAATTTAAGAGTATGAATGTGGTCAACCGTTGAAAAACCCTTTCTGAAGCCTGCTTGCTCCACCGGCTGCTTTTTTTCCAATGTGTCACTAATCCTTGTATTTATAATTGCGGAGAATAATTTGTGTAGACTCGGTAGCAGGCTTATTGGTCGGTAGTTTCCGATATCCTTCGGGTCACCTTTTTTATATATTAATATGATGTTGGATTCAGAGCATTGTGACGGTGTTTCAGAATTTTGCAAAATCATGTTTAATAGTTCAGCTAATGGTGCAGCCAAAGTTACGTGTCCTTTGTAAAATTTACTGGAAATAAAAAGGCTTTTTTATTTTATTTATTTATGTTAAGATAAGCTAAGCTTATGCAGAAACCTATGTAAATAAGAAAAAATAAATCTAGCAGTCCACTTTTGAAAAAATTAATTTCCAAGTTTTTGTCAAAATATAATAACATTTTTCGGTGATGATTTAATTGTAATCCTTCTTCATTTTAAACTAGATGACCTGTTGAACTACGCATCACCTTTTTTTCTGTGCAGAAATCCCCTCGGATACTACCCACCGGTGGTTATGTCGGACTCGAACCGACCAAAAACCGCACGCCGTCTCGCCAGTTGCCGGGGAACCAGGTGTACCCTAGGAAGGACATCTCTGATACCCCGACGTGCTTCGGGCCATCTACGACTTGTAAATGACCCCCTCCGGTGTGGAAACCCCTATGTCCTCTTTGTGCTCCCGAAGGGGCGCGCGCGCTCCGCAGCGCGTCTCGCCACCACTCCGGCCTGCTTCTGCTAGGGTGACAGATGGCTTCACCTACCATCCCCAGGTATGCGCTTATTGAGGACGAAGATCATTCTGCGACCTCCGATGCCTGAGTCGTCTTCGGTACCTAGCCCGTTGCCGGGCCTGGCGCTCAGAGAGAGTTCTAAACCTCTCCCGGTCCCGCTCCGCCAAATTGGCTAAGTTATGCTTGTTTTGCAAGCATAACTTGCTCGCAGACTTAGCCAATTTACAAAATTTCCTAAACATCTTCGAATCGAAAAGCCTATTGATACAGTTATTAAACTGTTAACTTCACTACAAAGTATAAAACAAAGTCGCTTTCTGCTGTCTGTCTGTCCCTATATATGCTTAGATCTTTAAAACTACGCAACGGATTTTGATGCGGTTTTTTTTATAGGTAGTGTTTCAAGAGGAAGGTTTATATTGATAATGTAACTAACTAAAGATAGATCAAAATAATGTACTACAGTATTGTACACCTTAAAAAGGTCTACAAAAAAGTCTGCGATGGTATATGTCTATCTCTTAGGGATAACCCAAAATAACCATTTTTTATCCTTTACTTTTACGAGAAATAATGGCTTATTTACGAAGCGATTTTAAGCGATACAGCGTTAATCCTTATACTATTAAGTAGCTTAAGTACATTGTGCATTTAATATAGATCAATATTGCCCTTTACAGCATGTAATTTGGGACATAGCGAGTGCGGCGGTACCGCATATAATATAATATATACTCGTATACCGCTATAAATAGCGCGTGGAGGCCGCGCTTCGCCCTAATGCACTTTAGGATTAGCAACGATTGCACGTGTTTATCGGAGCTCTCTAGCGAGGGAAACGAAATAACAATACTTTAAAAAAAACGTGCTTTTCAGCGCGACAACGTATTCCATACTTATAAGTACGTTACGATAAATAACAAAAAATATATATTCGAAATTGTAAAAAAATACTATCAGTGTTTAAATACTAAAGTGAATTCTTTTTTAAGACAAAACGTGCTTTTCAGCGAGACTTTTTTTCTAAATTGTATGTTCGTAGTTTAGTCGGTATAACCTTAATACCGACTAAACTACGAACATCATTAAACCGCACTTTTAGTAAACATTAAGTTAGATAGCATTAGATTAAAACCATAATTTATCAATTGTATTTCTTCTATTAAGATCTTGGCTTGAATTTAGAGTTAAGGCAATTATTTTG